GTAATGTCTAAAATACAGGACACAAGGGAATAGGCCAGGTTTCTCCTGAAGAAGTCTGTCAAAATTTCTCTTCACCTAAATGTGTCTCCCTCGAGACACGCAGGTTCCTGCCTCTTTGACCAGGGACCGGAAAGTCTTGACCCATTAGCTGCTGCCTCTGTTGAACAAGTTAGTAATACTCTCCATTTGTTTTTTGCCATGATCTGGTGCCTTTACTTACATCAACAAATGGAGAAGTAAAGCAATTTTTCTCAGGCTAAACAGCTTAGAAGCAGTAGACCAGTATTTAATCTCAGGCCCATGTGACTAAAGCCTGCAAATGTCCCACTAGGCACCCTGGAGTGCCAGAACCCTTTCTGTTTCCATGTTGTAGACTGTTGTTAACCTAGACACTATCCTACTTTTGGTGATAAGCATGGGTCACAAATACAGAACCTAAGGTAAGTATTGTTGCTCCCTGTTTTAGAACAAAGATCTTTTACTGGTGAATAAAATCTCCATCGCTATTCCAGTTTTCTTATCTGTAACGTTTCATTGACAATTATTCCTTATGGGAAGAATAAAAATTCTTTGTAATAAAAGTAATGTCTAGTATTCATAAGATGTTATAAGACATTTATAATAAAAACAAATGTCTTATAAACTCCTTTGAGCTGCTTGAAGAGATGTGTAATACGAAGGCAAGTTATTAGCCATTGAAATGTGTTTTCCACAAATCCCACCAGTTGTTTTAAACACCATCTCATGGTAACAGTTTGTTCAGCCAAGATTAACATAAGCCAATATACACATTTGTAGAAAAAATCAACCCAATTACTTCGAGAAACACTGACATATTTTAGATCAAAATGCCAAAAACTCTGATTTTCTTAATAATTAGTTTCAAAAATGACGTCTTTTAGAGAAAAACTGTCCTTAAAAATACCTCTATGCCCTTATGTTACAACTATTATACCAGATATTGAGTTACACAAATGGGCAAAAATAAGAAAAGTAACTAATTTCAATAGTTATAGCTCATGTTTTTCTTCTAGTTGACATACGAGGCAAGTTGCCTTAAAGGTCATTAACCACGTGTTCCGCAGATAAATCTCACAACTGTTGCTGTTTAACTTGGCAGGGCTGTAAAATATTAGAAAGCTGTGATTGAAATTCTGTAAGGTTCTGTAAAGCCCTAAAACTTTAAAACTTCAAGCTAAGACAGGATTTGTTCATGTTTTTATTTTGTAAAATCAAACAATAGCAACTTGTGGCTCTTTTTACCTCTGCAAATACAGCTCCAAGTACCTCTTTCCTGGTCTAGAGAAACATATCTATACACATATACCAGATAAGAATTCAATGTGTGTTTGCGATTTTTATTGGGACTTTGGGAGAATGGGGAGAAAGCCATCAGAAATATTCCTATTATATTACATTACTTTTTAGTCAGAAGATTAAGGGAAAAAGTAAGAGACTATACGGCTGGATGAGTACGTTTTAAGAAAACATTTTAGAGATAAATAATAGGCACAGATTAGATGAAAATTATTACAGTTTCAGATGCATGAAAAATTTAAACCACAATATTACAACAAGTCCGTTAAAGCATTTTAGGAGTTGTGTATGCTGATGGGTATGAGAAGGAACTTTAGGAATAGATCAATAGATCAAATAGACTTCAATCATCAGTGTCAAACATGCACTGGAATTTGGAATTCTTATTCCACCACAACTTGGTGCAACGTCCAGAGCCTTTGGATTCTTCAACATCAAGGTCACATATCATTCAATCTTTCATTTAAACAACCATATTGCTTCTTGTCTATACCATTCATTTCTACTTCCCTTTGGCTATTGTTGAACTATTATCTCAAAGTGCAATTTAATTCTCAAGATTTTTAGGGAAGAAACCAAATCCTGAACTGTTTGGTATGCTCTATATGCTTAGCAGAATACAGTCACTTTAAAATTCACTGAAACCTGTCAGGTAAACATGGCTGATTGAACAAATGTGTTCACCTATGAATGTGTTCAAATTTCCAGAAAAATTACAAAAAGGAATAAAAAAGGTACTGATTTATACAATACAAGACAATGGGAATGGGAAGGAATATAGCAGTGAACAAGGAAGATAAAAATCAGGGAAATATGGCAAGTGGATGGAAGAAATACTTAACAGAGCAGAGGGAGATGAATCTTAAAAGTAACAGAGGAAGATAACAAATTGCAAATCTATTCATTTGTGAAACCATGGAAAAGCTCAGACACTAGAGGTACCAGTTAATCACAAGGAGAGGTGCTATGGTCTGGATATTTGTGTTCCTCTCAGATTCATCCGTTGAAATTCTAATCCCCAAGGTGATGCTATGAGGAGGTGGTGTCCTTGGGAGAATTAGGTTACAATGGTGAAGCTCTCATAAATGGGATAAGTGCCCCTATAAAAAAGGCCCTAGAGAGCTTCCTTGCCTCCTCCACCATGTGAGGACACAATGAGAAATCTGCAACCTGCAGTCTGGAAGAGGACTCTCACCAGAACCTGACCATGTTGGCACCTAGCCTCCAGAATTGTGAACAATAAATTTCTGCTATTTATAAGCCACCCAGTCTATGGTATTTTGTTATAGCCACCTGAATGACAAGAGGTATGATGAGGACTAAAAACAAATGAATTGGTTTAAGATGTGAACTAAGATTAGACAGTCATCTAGGTCCCCATCCCTACCCCATGCAGCATGTGCCCACCCTTCTGCCCCCTCCAGAAGAAATGAAAGGTTTGGTTTCAGAAGAAATTTAACCATAAGCACTCTAGACTTGTGGTTGTCAGGCACAAAGATGGCTGTAGGTAAACTGGCTAATTCAAAGCAGAATAGATTAAGTGAAAATATATACAATGAACGATTAGAACACAGCCCTCTCCTTCCCCTGCTCAAATCCCAGAAAATAAGCAGTCATCTCCTCCCAGAGGCAAGAATTGGAAGGATCCTTCTCTGGGGAAATTGAAAAGCCACAGAGAAAATAACCAAAGATACTGACATTTTTGTATGACCTAGGAAAATGCTAGCTGGCCACCCAATCCCCACAGTGAAGTGCACACTCTCAATAAGACTTGTCTATTCATGGAGTTTCCAATAAGTCTTACAGTACATCACTTTCAAATTTAATGAGCAATCAAGGATCTCCTGACAACATGAAAGAGAGCAAAACAAATGAAAAGGAACTTGACCAAAATAAAAGCAATCCAGGAATCAGAGGAAAACTTTTTTAAAAAATTATGATTCACACTCTCTGAGAGATGAAATGATGCTATTATCATGAAATAAGAACTAGATGATAAAAAAATTAAAGGATTGAAAATTAAGAATGACGTTTTAAAAAAATAAAAACATAATACTTGAAGAAAGAAAATGTTCAGTATACAGGTTGGAAAACAAAGTCAAGGAAATATCACAGAAAATAGAATAAAAGGGTAAAAGGAGAGAAAAAGTTAAAAAAATCAGAGACCAATTGAGTAGTTTTAATATTTGGATAACAGATGATCCAGAAAGAGGATATAGAGAAAATGGGAAGAAAAATTCTTAATGAAATAAAACAAGAAAATTTCCATTAATGAAGGACATGAACCTCCAGATTGAAAGTTCCTTCTGAGGTTCCAGGATAATTAATTACAAAAAGAAGAAGAAAATTAGATCCAAACCAAGGTACTTCCTCATGAGATTCAGACCACCAGTATAATGAGAAAATCCTAAAATTCTCCACAGAAGAAAAAAAACTAGGTTTCATACAAATTATTGGGATTAAGAATGACATCAGATTTTTCAACAGCCATAGAAGGAGGAATGCCTTAAAAACTCTAAAGAAAACGATTTTCAACCCCCATTTTCTATCCACAAATTATAAAGAAATTGTGAGAACAGAATAATGTCACTTTCAAAAAATGTTAGATCTAAAAACTTTTACCTCCCACTCTCTAATTTTTAGGCAGTTACTCTAAAATGAGGGGTTAATTCAAGAAAAAGAAGAAGACATCGAATCTGGAAACAAGAGATCCAACACTAGAGAGAAGAGACAGCAATTTCTAAGACGATGGCAAAGGCAAGTGCCAGGACGAGAGCTGTACAGGAAATCTAGAGAGCAACTAGTCGAGGGGTCAGTGACTTCAAGGAAAGCACAGAACTTACAGATATTTTAAAAAAGAGGTTTGACTATGTGGAAAAGTGAAATGAGCCTGTTGGCAAATGTGAGAAAAATTAGCATGGATAATAAAGAATACTTAAAATTGTAAAGAAAAAACCAAAAGAAAAGTGAAGAAATTGGTAACTCCAGGGAGAAAATGAAATTTGATTAGGAAGAAAACGTAATAGTGTGTGGTCTGGCAGAAAACATTACTGCAGATACCAAATACTGATATATGATATTTTTAATTTTGTGGGAAGGGGAAAGATAAAACAGGGTAAGACTGCTAATGTCTCCAAATATGAAGAAGTTAGGAACTAATGTTTAACTTGATAAATCAAGACATAACGGATTAGGCATTTTATACAAAGTTAAGTGCCATAAAAAAGAGCCACAATGTTGAAAGTGACTATCTTTGGTAGCAGGATAGGTTGGAGGCAGGGAATCCTGGTTTTCATTATAAGCCTTTAAACTCTGCATACAATACTGTGATAAATATAAAAATTAACAATTGCTTTTCGGAGATTGAGAAGGCTCAATCCATTTTACCTTGGTGCTTAAAGTGTCCAAACGTCTCTAGTACCCTACGAAACTGCGAGAAAATAAGAGCACCGTATTTCTCCGTTCACCCTGAAATGTTGCCTGGAGTGGAAACTAGAGTCTTCTGTAGTACATGCATACTGATCTCAAAGATTCAGGCCAGGCGAATATTCTTCAAAATATTCTCTGTAAAGACAGCCCTGACATCAACAGAGTCAAGGTTGAAGACCCCTTACTGGTAGGAATCCCTATTTCCGGCTCCTCTAGTTTCCGGGAGGAGGCTTTTCTTTGAACACTTCCGTTACTCTCTCCCGCCTCATTGGCTCCTCTCTCAGCAAGGGGAAGGATTTCATCTTATTGGCGGACTTGACGGAGGGGAGAAACTGGGTTTGCCTTGTGCTCGTTCTGCTCGTCTTGGGAGCGCTCACGCCTAAGGGTGTGCAGGTCGAGGCCTGGCCCTCGGCGCCGTGCCAGGTAGAGTCTGTCTTTTCCCGGAAAGGCTCCTGAGTGGGGACGTCTGGCCGTCTGTCCAGTGCTGCAAGTTAGTGTGTGGGGTTGGTCTCCCCAGTCCTGAAGCTCACCATCGGGAAGTGCACTGTGGCTCCCTGTGTCGACTCAAGCTTTCAGTAGTAGGAAAGGCGACGTTCGGTTCCATTAGCCAACTAGCCTGTTGTCCTTAGTTGTTATGTCTCGTGCTGAATGTAAGTCAACGTTAACTCTATCAGGTATCTGGCTGTGGTGACTTTGGTTTTCTCAGTTCTTGGGATTTTCTGTGGTCAACCTGGTGACAGTGTATAAACACCATTTACGTAAATTCTAAATTTAATGGTTTTCTATAAAATTCTTCTTGGCATTATTGGTGTCATAAGTCAACTATGCAATGAGAAAAATGAGGAGATTCAGTTAAATTTCCTTTATTTGCAAGCTATCCACATTGAAAATGTAAATAAAAGTTGTTAGTTGAGATATAGGATAACACTTTGTTCATCTCTTGGGAAAACATGAAAGTTAGGAATATGAGGATTCAGTCAAATGAAGAGTTGATGAAAATGATGTATACTTTCCAAGAGAGTGAATTCAACTCATGTTAGAAAATTGATTTATATAACAAATGTGCTTTGTAACATAAGATTATTGAGTGAGTTCTGTGTGCCAGGCAGTGTTTTAATGCTAGGGATACAATAGTCAACAAAACAGAAGAAAAACCCTGCCCTTGTGGAAATTTCTTTTTTTTCCCCCAGCTTTACTGAGGTACAATTGACAGATGAGATTACTTTCTAATGGGCAAGGCAGATAATGAAACATAAACAGGTATAATACATAGTATGTCAGAAGGCAATGAGTGTTCTAAAGAAAAAAATAAAGTAGGGAAGGTGAATATGGAGTGTTGAGGTTAGGATGAGAATTGCAGCTTTAAAATAGAGCACCATTTGAGTAAAGACTTGGAGGAAGTAGACGCAACAAATCATATTATCATCATCTTCTAACGTGCCATTTATGTTACTCACTAAAGGAGTGAGAGAGATAGAAAAGGGGTCTAAGGGCTGAGCCTCGGGCCACTCCAAAGGTAAGTGTTGGAGATGAAGTGAAGGGAGATGAAGAAGAAACGGTAAAGCAGTTTATAGGAAATGTTGTGGAAGCAGCCATGAGAGGCCCATTACCATCTGGGCATGGGGGAGTGGAGGGAGGCTCAGGAAAACTTAACAAATGTGTTAACTGAACTTGGCCTTAAAGAATAAGCAGCGTTTTGGTGGGCAGAGTAAAAGTGAGCAAAGAGGCAATGACATGTGGTGGCATGTGAAGGAAAATCTGATTTGGAGATTGACGAATAGTTGAGTGTTCCTGGGAGGAGGGCTGGTTGTGGTAGTGGCCAGGAGCAAGGTTTGCTGGGGGGAACTGGGAGAAGAAAGATGAAAATTGGAAGATGAAAAGATGACTGTCTTTAAAGAGCTAAGTATGCCGTGATTCCTAACTAGGTGTGTGAACATTATAATGGAGGCAGTAAAGAACCATCAAAGCCAGGGTAATGATATTTTAGTAATATTACTCTGGTGACCCTGTAGTTTTGAAGTTGGGTAGAATTGGAAGTTTAGAACTTAAGAGACAATTCTCATGATCTCATCCAGAGTTGGTGAAAAATGAAGCAAATCATAGATTCCAAGAAATTGGCTTTGTGCATGACTGTATCCATATCTGTCATGGCTTGACAAAGTCACTTCACCTTCTAATACTTTGACCTCTGATAACCTCTCTCCTCAGTTTATCTAAATTCCACTCACTCTTTAAGGCCTACTTTGAATTCCGTGTGTTCCATGTGGCTTTTTTTGTAGTTTGTTCATTCCAATTTTTACTGATCTCTGCTCTTTATGACTTATTGCATTGAAAAGAAAAGAAAGACTTTGTTTCTTTTTCGGTTTTCACTATGGTTGAAAATTTCTCTTCTTTGTCATTATTGAAGACTTTTAAATCTAGAGAACATGTAATTTATTTCCTTTATATTTCTTTCCAACATGCTGTAGCATGCTTGGCGCTCAATTTTGTTATGGATTTATCCTCATGAACAGAGATTATGTTTATGAAATCAGGTCACCTGCTCACTAGAACTCTTTCATGGGCTCTGCACCACATACACAACAATATTCAAAGTTCTTTAAGTGCTCTTGACCCACATTTATAGTTTTATCTCCTGTCATTCCCCACTACTTCCTTGGTTCAAATAGTTGGGCTTTGGAAAGATACACAAATTTTCAGCCAGATGTGCCATTCCCCCATCACCCAAGCTGCAAGCCTCTTTCCTTGACACCTTTATCATTTTGACTGTGGCTATCTCAGCTACTGGGATGCTCTTCTTTTTCTTTTTTTTTGGGGGGGGGATAACAATTTAATTGATATATGACTTCCATATCATAAAATTTACCTTTTTAAATTGTGCAGCTCAGTGAGTTTCAGTATATTCATAGAATTGTGCAACTATACAATATCTATTGGCAGAATACTTTTATTGCACTAAAAAGAAACCCCGTATCCTGTAACAGTCACTCCCCTTGCTTCTCCCTCCAGCTTCTGGCAGCCGCGAGTCTATGTTCTGTTTCTAGGGATTTGCCTATTCTGGACGTTTCATATAAGTGTAATAATACAATATGTGGTCTTTTGTGTGTGGCTTTTTTCACATAGAATGATCTTTTCAAGGTTCATTCATTTTGCAGTACTTACCAATACTACATTCCTTTTAGTGGCTGAATAATATTCCATTGTATGAATGTACCCTATTTTGTTTATCCATTTATCCATTGATAGACGTTTGGGTTGTTTCTACTTTTTGACAATTTTGAATAATGGTTCTGTCATCATTTGTATGCAACTTCTGGCATAAACATATGTTATCATTTCTCCTGGATATACACATAGGAGTGGAATTGCTGGGTCCTATGGTAACTATATCTTTAACCTTTTGAGAAACTGCCAAACAGTTCTTCAAAGTGGCTGTACCATTTTATAATCCTATTAGCAATATATGAGCGTTCCAATTTCTCCGCATTCTTGATAACACTTGTCGTCTTCTATCTTTTTGATTTTAGCCATCCTAGTAGATATAAAGTGGTACCTCATTGTACTTTTGATTTGACTTTCCCTGATGGCTAATGATCTTGGGCATCTTTTCATGTGTGTTTTCACCATTTATGTATCTTTTTTCAAGATGTGTCTATTCAGGTCCTTTGCTTATTTTTCAGCTGAGTTAAGTGTATTCTTATTATTGAGCTTTAAGGATCTTTTAATATTCTGAATACAAATCCCTTATGAGATATATAATCTGCAAATATTTTCTCTAATTCTTTGTGTTGGGTTATCACTTTTTTGATGGTGTGATTTAAAATGTAAAATTTTCAGCTCTTATATTTAGATCTATGCTCAATTTTGAGTTAATTTTTCTGTATGGTATAAAGCAGGGATCCAAATTAATTTCCTTCTATGTGGATACCTAGTTGTCCTAGCACCATTTGTTGAAAAGACTGTTCTTTCTCCATTACGTTGTCTTAGAACCCTTGTCTGAAATCAATTGATCATAAATGTATGATTTAAAAAAAAACCTCAATTCTATTCCATTGATCTGTATGTCTGTCTTTATGCCAATATGATACAGTCTTGATTACTATAGCTTTGTAGTAAGTTCTGAAGTCTGGGACCTTCAACTTTGTTCTCCAATATCGTTTAGGCTATTCTGGGTTCCCTGAATTTCTATATAAGTTTTAGGATCAACTTGTCAATTTCTGCAAAAAATTTAGTTGACATTTGGATAGGGATTGCATTGACTCTGTAGCTCAATTAGGGAAGTATTGCTGTCTTGATAATTATTGTCTTCCAATCTATGAGCATGAGATGTTTTTTCCATTTACATAGGTTTTCTTTAATTTTTTTCAACAAAGTTAGTTTTCAGTGTCTATGTATTTAATTTCTTTTGTTAAATGTATTCCTAATTATTTTTTTGTGATGCTGTTGTCAATGAAATTGTTTTCTCAGTTTTATTTTTTTAATTGTTTATTACTAGTGTGCAGAATTCCAATTGGCTTTTTTTTTTTTTTAAATGAAACAGGCTTTTATTTCTGCTGGGAAAGGTTTGCCCTGAGCTAACATCTGTTGCCAGTCTTGCTCTCCTTTTTTTCCTCCCCAAAGCCCCACTACATAGTTGTACATTCTAGTTCTAATTCCTTCTAGTTCTTGTATGTGAGCTGCTGCTAAGCATGGCACTGACAGATGAATGCTGTGGTTCTGTGCCTGGGAACTGAACCCAGGCCACCGAAGCGGAGTGCACTGAACTTTAGCCACTAGGCCGTCAGGGCTGGCTCCCAATTGTTTTTTTTTTCTTTCATGTTTTGCTGAGAAAGATTTGCCCTGAGCTAACATCTGCTGCCAGTCTTCCTTCTTTTTGTATGTGAGCCACCACCATGGCATGGCTACTGACATGTAAGTGGTGTAGGTCCACTCCCAGGAACTGAACCTGGGCCACTGAAATGGAGCGTGCTGAACTGAACTACTAGGCAACCGGCCCTGGCTCCCCCAATTGGTTTTTTCTTTTTAAAGATTTTATTTTTTCCTTTTTCTCCCCAAAGCCCCCTGGTACATAGTTTTATATTCTTCGTTGTGGGTCCTTCTAGTTGTGGCATGTGGGATGCTGCCTCAGCGTGGCTTGATGAGCAGTGCCATGTCCGCACCCAGGATTCGAACCAACGAAACACTGGGCTGCCTGCAGCGGAGCGTGCGAACTTAACCACTCAGCCATGGGGCCAGCCCCCCCCAATTGGTTTTTTATATTGATCTTGTATCCTGCAACTTTGTTGAACCTGTTTACTAGTTCTAATTTTTTTTTGTGTGGATTCTTTGTGGTTTTCTGTGTACAAGGTCATATCTGCAAATAGAGATAGCTTTACTTCATCCATTCAAATCTCTATGCCTTTTATTACTTGTTTACTTGTCCT